TAAGAAGAACATTAACATGATTGTAGGTTTAACAACTTTTTTGACATTAATTTTTATTAAAATCAATTTTTAATATTCTTGATGATGTAGTCTTTCTACCTAATTATAATCAATGCTTCTCAAAACTCTTATTAACTGGACATCTCTAGCATCTCCCAAGCACAGATATATACATAAGATAATGAAGGCTCAGCCCTGTGACGCCAGCAGGATGAGCAACTGTCATGGACTTCATACTGCTAGGAAGCTCCATAGCCACTGATGAGACCAGAAGTGGCATGATAAACAGTACAAGAAAGCCCATCTGGGCACAGCCCTGAAGGCCAGCCCTTTTGGAGGTGCTTCTCATGCAAAAGGAATCATGCTAGAAAAAGTAGGAGTTGAAGCCAAGCAGCCAATTCTGCCATTAGGAGATGTGTCAGGGTCCAGCTGATCAAGAATTATAAGAATATCACAGCCTTTGTACCCAATGATGGTTGCTTAAACTTTAATGAGGAAAACGATGAAGTTCTGGTTGCTGGATTTGGTCACAGAGGTCATGCTGTTGGTGATATTTCTGGAGTCCACTTTAAGGTTGTCAAAGTAGCCAATGTCTCTCTTTTGGCCCTACACAAAGGCAAAAAGGAAAGACCAAGATCATAAATTTTAATGGTGAAAACACTGTAGTAATAAATTTTCATATACCAAAAAAAAAAAGATAATGAAAATTAGTTTTAATATCTATCTTTATATGGAACCAACTCTATCAAAAATAGTTTTAACTTTTTGTCATGGAAAATGTGAAACATTAAAAAGGAGAAAATGATATAATGAACTGATGGCTAATCTTATTTCATCTGTTTCCACCCTTTCATTCCCCACTCCAATATTATCTTAACCAAATTCCAACGTTGTATCAATACAGCTGTAAATATTTTAAAGTGTATCTCTAAAACAAAAGGACTCTAAATATGACAGTAACATTAGTTTTAAATTTTTAATTTAATATTTAATAAAAGTTTTTAAAGTTTTAATAATTATTGCTTAATATCATCAGAATATGTAGTCATTTTCCTGTCTTCAAAGAAACCTGTAGCTCCAAGAGAGCACATGTAAGTGCTCAGTCTTGGTCTCTAGATGCTATTTACCATTAAAGGGAACCAAAACTTTTTGTAGTAGCAGCTGATTTCAAGTTTGGAACAGGAAAAAAGCAAAATAATCCAGGAGCATCTTGTCATACTACAAAGGAAACTATTATGGACTGCAAGTTTATATTAACAGATGCAGGAGCCACCTGGAGGAGGCTGCCACTGGCCAAAGATGGGGCAATTGAGAATCAATAAGAAAAATAACAGTAATAGATTGAAATACATCACGTATGTTTAAATCCAGGAGTTGGTAATGATAATCAAAATTCAACAGAAGTCCTAACCTTTGGGGGATGTTAGGGAGCCAATGCATTGTTTTAAAAACTGGCTAGTAAAGAGGAAAATAAAAAAAAATAATTAGTCTGTCTTTCCTATATGACCTTTATCTTAGGCCAACCAACTGGATAAGGAGTAAAATTTTCTTAGTATAAAGAAGGCATGATATAATTAGAGTATCATCATTTTGTTTTTGTTTGTTTGTGAGTCTCACTCTGTCACCTAGGCCGGAATGCAGTGATGTGAACATGGCTTACTGCAGCCTTGAACTCCTGGGCCCAAGCGATCCCCACACCTCACCCTCCCAAGTAGCTGGGATTAGCTGTGCATTCCACCACACACAGCTAAGTTTTTCTATTTTTTGAAGAGACAGGGTCTTGTTATGTCAACGAGGCTGGTCTTGAACTCCTGGGCTCAAGTGATAGCCAACATCAGCCTCTCAAAGTGCTGGGATTACAAGTGTGAGTCACCATGCCTAGCCATCATTATTTTGCAACCCCAGTAAAATTATGTAGGCAGTGATCACCAAAGGCTGCCAATGTCATGAGAGATATCCAACATTTGGAGGTGACACCATCACCCCTGAAGTGTTCTTATAAAAAAACAAAAAAGACTTCTTCATTGACTTTTAATGATTTTAGTACTTTAGGTATATGGGCATAGAAAAAGAGCTGGGTTTTGTTTTTTTTTTTTCCCCCCTGTCTTTTTTCTCTGACATAGAAAAAAAGGTAAAATATTAGTTTTATAAGAAAAAGGTAAATTGGGCTTACTTGTGAGACAAGAACTCTCAGAACAACAAACACTTCTATTTTATTTTATTTTATTTTTATTTTTATTTTTTGAGACAGAGTCTGGCTCTGTCACCCAGGCTGGTAAAATGCAGTGGCATGATCTTGGCTCACTGCAACCTCCGCCTCCTGGGTTCAAGTGATTCTCCTGCCTCAGCTTCCCGAGTAGTTGAGACTGCAGGCATGTGCCACCATGCTCAGTTAAATTTTTTGTATTTTTAGTAGACATGGGGTTTCACCATGTTGGCCAGGCTGGTCTTGAACTCCTGACCTCAGGTGATCCACCCGTCTTGGCCTCCCAAAGTGCCTGGATTACAGGTGTGAGCCACCACGCCCAGCCTGGAACAACACTTTTAAAATAACTGTTTAGAGGACCTAGCTAAAGGAAAAAGCAGCTGCAAGGAACATTTAAGATAGCACCAAACGGACATCTTTGCTAGTAAGTCAAGGTCTCTCAGTTAGACAACACAAAGTTTTAAATTTTAAGTTACCATTCCTACTAAAGTTCATAGATAAAGAAAAAATGGCTGCAGGGAATGTTTAGAGCATCATGATGTCTGTCGTGCTTGTGGTTGAAACAGTTACTAAACCTCTCAGCCTGTTTCTTCATCTGTAATATAATGTAGATAATAACAATATCTACCTCATAGCATTGTATAAGCATTAAATGAGATAATGCATCAAAGCACACATAACTCTCAATAAATGTTATCTATAATAAAATGTGTTAATATTACATTATCCTTATGCCATGAGTCTCATACTTGTTCTGTACATTCAGAAAATAGAACTACAGGTCTTAGATGCTTGTTTAATAATCAAGTCAAAGTAAACTTACAAAACAGTGTTTATTTAAATAGGCATTGACAATTGCACATCAAGCTATTCAATAGTCCCATAATAGTTTTTTTTTTATTATTATTTTCATATAAGTCTTTGGGCCTGAAAGTGTTTTTTTTTCTTTAATCTTCAAATTTATGCTATTATTTTATTTAAAGTACATGTTTTTATTGACACTCCTCCATCAAATAACTGAATTGCGGGCATCTATGTACGTATTGGCTGCTTTTCTTATGGAAAGAGCCATTGTGAGCTTCCTCTTCCCAGAGAAGCACCACAGCAACGGTCAACTGCAGACATAATTCATAAGGACAAACAGCCTATGTTGTGAATGCTAAATGTCTCACTTATGAGACTGTTTTATAATTTTATAACAGCCTAACTCCAGATGTGTATTAGGAAAATGTTCATATTAAATGGAAACTATCACTGTTGCAAAGCAAATTTTCTTCTTAACCTCATTGAACCTTATATAGCTGAGTTTTACAAGTACTCAGGCACAGCTTTTTTTCTACTTGCATCCTGAGAACACAAACGCAGGCACTCATGATCATCATTACTATCATCATTTTCATTAAACGCATGGAAAAGTTATTTTTATGTCCTGAAGGTGAGGTACCAGTATATTGTGATTTTCTTTATAGTCTTTTTTTTTCCTTAAGAATGTTGTTTAAAATTTTTTATCCTTGTATTGATTCACATAACTTGAAAAATCTGCTTATGAACTGTATCTTCCTGAAGCAGGCTGTAAAATTCTACGATAATTAAACCATTACTTAAAAAATATTTCAGTGCAACAGTGTCTATTGCATAAAGATGTCCAGACTGGTGGACAGGACCAGGGATAGGTCTCCTTGGTACAGAGATCAAGAGATCACCTTGGATAAGGGAAAAAAAATAAGTCTCGGAGTACACCTGGCAAAGTGTCACTTGTCTTACTCTTCTTTCTCAGGTTTCCCAGGGTTAAGGAAACATAGCAAGAGAAAAGCAAACAGAAGAGGTCAGAGGAATGACTGTCTTCCTCCAGAATAATGAGCTAGGAAAGAAACCGAAGGCCTTAAGTAGGATAATAAAATATTTGAAAAGTGGCAGGAGAAACATTTGATGACAGAGAAAACCATTGTAAAAAAACGACCTCAGACATTTAGACAGCAGATATGATTTAAGGGAAATTTTAAAACTGTGAACACATAACATTTTTTAATTTTAAAAGTTAAATTAAATGTTGATTAACTTGCAAATAATTACAAGTTTGTGAAAAATATAGTAAATTGTATTACAGCCAACTGTGTATTACTTTGAATTTTCTGTGCAACTTTGCCCTGATTTTCCTTTTTCCTCTCCCATAATGTATATTCTTCTGTAGTATTGTTGGTTTAGTTGTTTGACTGAGAACTTGAAATTTTTGAAGACTAAGATTACTGAAAAGAAAAGGGTTTTGTCTCTATGTGGTATCCACACTTGCAAGGATTCTGGCTATTTAGAAGGTGAATTTATAACCAGGACACCATCGCTCAACAAAATGTCCCAATTACCATCAAAACAACTATGAGGAAATAAATAACATGTTTGGTTTTTAAACTTCAACCTCACAGTGACTAAAATCATAGTCTCTCTGTAGATAAGAATTCAGGGAGACCCTATATAGACAAGAGTTCAGGGAGGCCAAAGAATGTTGCCCTAAATGACAGGTATGTTTTATCTTTAGAGCTGCCCTGCCATGCCTCTTTAGAATTCTTTGGTGCATGTATTGACTGATACAATGTCAGAGTTCTTGAGTATAGGAGGAAAAGCATTCACCCTCCCAAGACTGCTCTAGAATAGAACATAATACGTCTCTCTGAAGTTTTCCTACAATCCTGTTTTCTCTGTTTTAACGACTGTGGCTTAATATCATTGTGAATCAGCCACATTTAATTTATTATTGTCTGTTTGAGTTAACTTATGTTAACATTGTAATCTCCTCCAGGTGTCATTCTCTATATTCTACTGGTGGGGTATCCACCCTTCTGGGATGAAGACCAACACAGACTCTATCAGCAGATCAAGGCTGGAGCTTATGATGTATGTAATAACTATTTATATCACTTTAGATAAAGATTTGTTTTTGCTTCTTGACCAAGTGTCAGATCTTTGCATTGTTCTTTTAACCACAATTTTTACCATTTTCTCTTATTATTTTCCTCTCACAGAAAGAGAAAAAGAAATAGAGCATATGTATTCACTTTATGTTTCCTTTTAGCTCACTCTCTCCTAACATTGAAAGAAAAGCAATGTGAAGTTTCTGAAGAAGGACTTTTTCAAAATATTTGGATCTTAGTGCATTTTGAAAACATGAAAATTAAAATATTTCTGCTATAGAAATGGTCATTGCCTATTTAGTTGAATTATATTCTCAAATATCTATCACATAATTTTCAAATATATACCAAAAGTATTTTATAGTGATCCTATATCAAATAGAACATTATCCCACTATTCCAGTTTCTGGGTTTTGTTTTTTTTGTTTTTGTACTGTTTATCTAATGGGCTACTATGCAAGCTTTTTTGAAAAATTTGAAAATCACGATTCTAATACATTTAGTTTATAATTAGAATATTTGAAAGTAGAAAATATATATTGTATGTGTGTATATGTGTGTGTGTGTGTGTGTGTGTATGTGTGTGTGTAAGAAACAGCCTTGTGTGTTTCTTTAGTAGCTCCTTGTAGCTGGAAAGCTTTTACAACTGCCAAAGATAAGATTCAGGAATTAAAAAAATGACCGTTGTTAAACTGGCAAAAAGTACAGGTATTAGAGTCAATATCATTTTTCTCATATTTTATTTTGCCAATGAGTCACAAGTTCCCCATTTTAAAACTACTAAAAATAGACTGATTTAATTCCATGACACAGTAACAATGGCTTTGTTTTTCAAGATTGTTTATACAAATTCATGAATTGGAAAATAACCTAATATTCCATCATTTCGCAACTAATGTGATGTAAATTTCCCTTAACCTTTGAAGGATGGTATGTCTACTAAATATGCTAATCATATAAAAGTAAGTTTAATAATTATCAGTACAAAAAATAACACAAAGAAAGGAAAAGGAGAAGTAGCTTTTTTATATAGTTTTAATATTAAAAAAGAATTAATAATGGGAAGTTATCGGATTTGATTACTTTCATATACTTTGGTAAAATTTGTAATTGGGCAGATTAAACTTCTTGATGGGTTAAAATGAAACCTTGCTGAAGCTCCTTAGGTCTCAGATTCTTCTCACTACAGCATTCCAAGTAGCCGTGATTAATGGGTCAGTTTTGGCACAGGAATTGAAGCTGTTTTATTACCTCTGCTATTACTGCTTATGAGTTGTGAAAGTATATAATACCTCATTTTGAACCTTGGCATAGTATCATGACATTGCTACATGTGGCAACCTCTTTGCTTTTATTAAGTTTTGCAAACAGTTATGAGAAAGATTGTATAAAATTCCATTTTCAAATCAAAGCAGAGATACTTTGAGAAGAACAGAAGATTTTTAAGTTCTTTTCTTCTGAATTTTAAAAATGTATTTACTGTATGTGACAAGCGGCTTGTACATATGTTGGTCCTTTATCAGGTACTTTTTAATATATGTAGTTTTCTGTATAGAGGGGGAGAATCGATCTAAATGGTTTTATTTATTTTAAATACAATTTAACTTATATAAAAAATAAATTTATGAAGAAATTCACTACTTGAGGGAATGATTCATGTAGTTGATGCTGCCCTGTTTGATTGTGTGTCCATTTTTAAAACTTTTTATAAATTTATAATTTTGAAGTTTCCATCACCGGAATGGGACACAGTGACTCCTGAAGCCAAAGACCTCATCAATAAGATGCTTACTATCAACCCTGCCAAACGTATCACAGCCTCAGAGGCACTCAAACACCCATGGATCTGTGTAAGTAAAATTCTCCAAAACTTCAAGAGCTAAAATGAAAAATAAGCTCTCCTTAATATATTGTTAATGGATTTAAAATAATTTTGCAGAAAAAGAGGAAACTCAGAATGAATGAATTTTTGACTCAAGGTGTTTAAGAAAATGAATTTTATGATGGTAAAAATGCAGTTTTCAATAGCAAATTCTGAATTGCATAGATTGCTAAATACACATTGCTTGTAGTAACAAAGGAATGAGTATTCTCCATATCAATTATTGACAATACTCATGAATGAGGTTAAGAAAATAACAACAAAATTAAATGTGTCCCAGAAGAAAAGATTTAACAAAGTTAAATTATTTGTCATTAGGCAACTTTAGAAACAAGTATGAAGTTTGGTAGCTGAGAGTAGAACTTTAGTGGCATAAAAGAATGGTCATAGTAGTCTGAATGTATTTTTAAAATATTAAGAAAAATAGTGTGAAATTTGAGGGGGATCTGGAGACTTCAGTAAATTTCCTAATGTGTCAATTGCTAAGGTAACAAATATGGCACTAAGTAAATGAAAGATAGTCCAGTCAAAATGTGATTAATACATTGAAATAAAGACAATTTTAAAAATTATTAATATTGATTTCTGTACTTTCTGTACATCAGTGTTGCATCTTGGTCACAAGTAATCTTGGCAAAACTGAAATTTTATTTTTAGGTAAGTTTGGCAATTGAATACTTAGAAGTTGATCATGCAGGGTGTAGCACCATTAATAAAGATTTGATGAAGTCAAGGATATTATATTTAGCGTGTTTTACATATTCTCAATTAAGTCACTTTTTTCCCTCTTCTTCTAGCAACGTTCTACTGTTGCTTCCATGATGCACAGACAGGAAACTGTAGACTGCTTGAAGAAATTTAATGCTAGAAGAAAACTAAAGGTAAGAAATTTTACATTTTTTGGGGAAGTAGATTTGGAAGACTGAGAAGTAAAATGCTATGTGAGGAAAATAACTTCTAGCAAAGACTTTCAATTATGTAGACCTTAATACTCTCATTATTCTTTTTTGGGGTCTTGGGAAAATGGAATATACACCAGAATCAAAACTATGATGAAAAGCTAGAATCATTCTGGCAACACATGCTGTGGGTCCTTTCTTCAGTGGAAAACAGCTGTGCAATTTGATAATGAGAATCTGGCCCGCACATGAGAGCGGTCCCAGCATCATGAAAGACAAAGGCCTTTGACTCTCAGGAAACCAAAAAACAAAAACAAACAATCAAAAATCCCCTAACTGAAAGTAGGGCCAGGAAAAGATTTGTTATCAAAGACTGTATATTTGTTAGGTGCAGGGTTTGCATAGGCAACATTGACTTTTGTGTTCTAATTTTTTTGACAGGGTGCCATCTTGACGACTATGCTGGCTACAAGGAATTTCTCAGGTACATGCATTCATTACTCTGCTTCTTATCCTTTGGTCTTCTTTTTAAGTAGTCTCAGTTTGTCTATGGAATTTTAAAAATCTAATAATTAGAAAAACCTCATTGTTCAGGGGTGGCAAATGTGTGGCACAGATTCCTTCTACACCTGTGACTGCCATTAGTAGTCTGCCTGGGAGCTGTCTGCCGCAGAGCCTCCGTGACTGCACCCCTCACAAGAGTGCTTCTGGCAGCTCTGGCCACCAATCAGTGCTGGTTCAGGACTAGCCTCATCTGTCAAATGCTGGGGTGCGTACAAGTTGTGGAAATAAATACTCACTCATTTGCAGTCTCAGCATTTCACACCTAGAATTTATTATTGAGATTTCATAAAGTAATAACTATGAATAAGTTATTTTTGGTCTCATTTTCATAGGGAATCCCAGTATGCAAGATTTTTAAAAGAAGATCATTATTGAGAACCCAGTTCTCTTAGACCTAAGTTCATTCGAAAGTATAGTAGTTTCTTGGCATGCTATAAGAATGATTAAAACTGTCAAAGGCATCTAACCCAAGAATTTACAGAGCATCTTACACACAATACTATCAGTGCATAATAAATGTTCCTCAAAATGATTTCATGGTTAAAATAAGTTTGTTAAGTAATAAGCTAAAAGAAAGCAAACCAAGGCTGGGCACGGTGGCTCACGTTTGTAATCCCAGCACTTCAGGAGGCCGAGGCAGGTGGATCACCTGAGGTCAGTAGTTCGAGATCAGCCTGACCAACATGGAGAAACCCTGTCTCTACTAAAAATACAAAATTAGCCGGGCATGGTGGCACATGCCTGTAATCCCAGCTACCCAGGAGGCTGAGGCAGGAGAATCACTTAAACCTGGGAGGCAGAGGTTGAGGTGAGCTGAGATTGCACCATTGCACTCCAGCCTGGGCAACAAGAGCAAAACTCCATCTCAAAAAAAAGAGAAGAAGCCAAACCATTTCTTTATTGTAAGAGTCACTCTCTAAAAATGGAGATAAAGTATATATTACTCAAAGAAATTGCTTGAGTTTTGCAACCTCCTTCTTTGATGGATTATCTCAAAGGACCACGTTCCCAAAAGTCAAATCTTGTTCAATGCTAAGCAGTCTTATGTGGGGGGAAGGACTGGAGCAGTATTTAAGCTGCACTTGGTAACCTTTGGCCCTTTAGACTTGGAACACTTGTTAAGCATTAATGCCAAAAATACTACCACTTTAGTTTGTGTATTTACATAACAGTGATCTGCAGCATCAAATTATCCAGCTATTTTTTCAATTCTTTATTTTCTGCTACACACTTAGCCTGGGTGTTATAGTGTTATCAGATAATAATCCATCATATCATTGCTAAGTGTTCTTCAACCAACTTCTACTTATTATTTACAACTGTATTAAGTGGTCATTTTTCCCCCCACCTTTGCATTTAGTTACAATTAGTGGGAAACCATAAGAGGCCTTTCAAAGACTGTTAAACAACAACAGTAGTACAATGAATAATGCTACAAATTAAGGGACTGTGTTGGTCCATTGTATGTATTTTGTCCAATTTATGTTTAGTGGAAAACCTTGTTGCTGCCTTTGTCAAGTTACCTGTTTCATAAACAGTTGATTAGTATGGTTGACAGTTATATGGGTGAGTTCAATGCCATCTCATTAAATATTAATTCATGTATACTATATTCAAATAAATTTCACTGTGGCCCAATAATTAGTGAATCATTAAAAGGTAGGATGATTTATGTAGCATAAATTGTTAATGGCAACCTAACCCAAAGGTTTAAAAATCTTCAGATTTAAAATTGTACATTTTGTCAAAGTGTTAAATATAATCTTTGACATAAATTGGGCCTTTATTAATGTATGTACCCATATATAGAAGCTTTCTGTTTACCTCACGGCTTCCTTTTCATCATCCTGTAAACTAAAAACTCATGACTAATATGTGATTTTATATTGTTTCTGAATGTCTTAGCATGAAAGAGCAAATTTTTTTTCTCCATCACCTCAAAATCAATTGAATAACATTAGACCCAGTTACAACATCTTGTACTTGATACTGCATTTTAGTTTTCAGTATTTTATTCATTCTACTTCATTGCCAAACATGCTCTTTAAAGTAATTTGTCCATAAGTATATGGTTATAAAGTTGTTTTTATTTTTTCTTTTCTCCCTTTATGTGGAATGTATTTCTTGTGAGGTAAGGTGAATAGTAACCAAAAGGGACATTTCTGCATCTCCCAGGCCAAATCCCTGCTTACCCTGAATCATTGTCTTCTCTTTGCTTGCTACTGCAATTTCAATTATTCTGAGTTTGCTTTCTAACCTATTAACTGCCACAGGATTGATTTAATATTTCTTTTTAGCTCCAGGCAAACAATGTAATAGCTAAGGCAACTATTTCTTGCAATCTCAATTAATAATAAATTAATAGCTTTGTTGCTAAAGACTAAATGAAATTAACATTTTTGTATCTTTTAAGTAAATTTAAAAATATACCAATATGATATTGAAATAATGCCCCAAATCAATGAACGTCAGTAAATTACATGTTCATGCAGTTCTATTCCAGCTAGGTATTTCCATTTTTGAGGCCAAATTCTATTCTGACATACTTAAATAAGTGTATGTAATTAATATTAAATGAAAGTATAAGTGTATATTGTGTCCTTCATATTTGTGAATGTTCCATTCTTGGTGTACTAATTGTCGTTGACACTTATATTATCTGTTCACTGTGTATATACACGTTCATTAGTAGATTTTTTGAAATGATTGCTTCACCTTTTAATATACTCAAGAAGTTTAGTAACAGAAGGAATGTTAAAAGCTCCCCACCAAGAAAAATGAAGTTTTATATAAGACCATGTGCTTTAAGATTTCTCTGATTTAGTTGAAGATTTTTTTATGCTGTCTCAAATTTTATTTTTACTTTTTCATTGTAAAGTCTTTTGTTTGTATTCTGATTTTAAAGTATAAAAGAATACATAGTGCCATTTTTTTAAATATCATATGCTAAACATTTAAAAAATTTGCTCTAGGCCAATAATATACCATTGTATTTAAATAGTAATATTTTTTGTAAAACCAAATTGTCTGACTTCAAGAATATAATGAAGATGTTATTTAGCCAGAGCAAATTTTACAAATGAGTTTTCAACCTCTAAAAAGAGGGGCTTAAATGGCAGAACTGACATGGTCACCATACATGTGGTGTGAATGAACATGTAATACAATCTGTCAGCTGATGTTCAAAGACTGAAATCAACTTTCTGGATTACAAAAGGATAGTCCAGTTAAAGTTCCAGTATCCTTTTCGCAACCAACAGTGAAATAAAGTCCAATAAACACAACTGGCAAAGTATTCAATTATATACAATGAACTACTCTTTAGTTCTAAATTTGCTGTGGCAAACCAAGAAAAGTGATACTGTATTTCAATGTTCTGTAAGCTCGCGCTCATCAGTGTGACTTTGATAACTTGCCATATGTTGGCCATAACTCAGCAAAGGTGGTAGAAGGAGACAATAACCTGACTGCTCTGTTGCCTGGCTGTGGGTTTCTATGCATAACTCACTAAACTGATTTTATTCTCATTTTACAGCAGCCAAGAGTTTGTTGAAGAAGCCGGATGGAGTAAAGGTAAGTTAAACAGATGCCCCTAATCCATTTCTGACTTTCAGATGCTGGATAATCTTTAAATGTTAAATATAATTCCTAAGTCTTTGCAAGTTCTTTTTTTTATTGTTTCTGATAAACGTTGCAGGTTGAAATAGAAATGATTTAATATACAAAGATGATTAACATTTATACCAAGAAGAGCTGTATTTCTTCTATTGGATTATATATGAAATAGTCTTGAAAAAATAATATTGTTATACAATACAGAGTTCCTGTAGAAATTGAATGTCTAAATTCTCTCTGATTTACTACAGTTCCAAACTAACATGGTGACATAAAAGTCTGTAAAAACCAAATGCTTTTCCAAATAATTATGCTGCATATGTGAAGGCCGCTGAAGTGTATAGCCTGAAAAATACTCACATTGGGGTATGGAAAGTAGAATGTCAGATGACTAAAATAATGTGGTTGGGCAGTTTTTATGAAGGTCATAATTATTCCTGTTTTAATTATTCCTATGTTTCTATCATAAGGTGTTGAGATATATTCAAGATGAATGTTTTGAACAAATATTACAAAAATCTTACAAGAAAAATAACAGCAGGATATTTTTACTTTCCAGGTTTCTAAACAAAATAATTCAGTTTCTTTCCTACTGATTGTATTTTATTTCAAGGGAATTTATTCTTGTTGGAATGTAACCTCATATGTGCATAATGATGTTTGTTATATTTTCAGAGTACCACCTAAATGTTTTATTTCTTTAATCCTTTTCTTTCTCTTCCAAGGGCAGATGCCATACATTCTTCATCAACACTTCAATATTCCTGGGAATTAATTAATTTTCTAACATTTGAATTTGACCCAAAGTCAGGTGGTCAGTTCATATTGAAAACATAACATAGAAAATCATTTATCACTTTACATGTTCATGTTCAGTCATTCACTCATTTCTTTACCACCTGTCTGTGTGCAGCTTGGAAATTTCCAGAGCACTGATGATTATGCATTTGTGATTTCCTTTGGGATGCCATTTCCATTTACCAATTGCTTTCCTCAACCTGCAATTTTGTCTTCATTTTGATTTGTTTATTCCATTTAGATTTTAATAATGATAGCTGATGACTGCCTTTTTCCCAGTGTTGCAATAGTAGAAATGTGGTATCTTACATTTTCCAAATATTTTCTTCTCCTGGGCTTTCCTGTACCATTCAGTGATGGAGAACTCACAGTTCCTATTGAGATATTTACTTTCATTACTATTTTAACATAGAAAACATTTCCAGAACTTTTTTCTTCCATTCAACTTATAGCTCCTCTTTAAAAACAAAATTATTCTGTACTCCATGCTTTGATACTCTAAATTCAACCGGTCATATTTTTTTCTTTTCCTTTCTCTTTGACTGGTCAATTCAGAAAAGGAAGTCCAGTTCGAGTGTTCAGATGATGGTGAGGATCTCTATCTGCCAGATTTCTCCTCCTGTGAAAATTCACACTTAGGAATAAAAGTCTTATTTACCTATGATAGTGTAAGTGGAAAGGGTGTAGGACCATTACAGGTCAGTGTTAATCAACCATCAAAACATGGTACTCCTCTTACATGCTATATTGTTTTTCTCTGAAGTTGAATTTGTTAAACATGTAAAAAGTTATATTAACAAGTTTGCCCTTTTACAAAGACAAAGTGTAATTTTCTCTTTGAAGATAAAAAGACCATGACAGAATTTATGTATAATGTTAAGTAAAAAAAAAATACTATATGATTATTTTTTAAATGTTCTTCATGTTTGCTAAAATAGGTGTGATTTATAGGACAACATAATACATTCACCATGGAGTTTATAAAGGTGTAAAAGTGATCTGACAATGTATTAATTCTAGTTAAATACCTTAAAAAGAAATATTTATTAACCTCAAAACAATAAACTCAACACCTGAGAAATAGGAATATCTTGCCCATGCCTCATAAAAGTAATTCAGTGCATCATACAATTATCTGATTTGATTATTTGACTCACTTTTTTAAAAAAAGAAAAATACCCTGCTTCTACTAATATAAAAGAATTATATCACACAAAAGTACCAGAGCTCTTATATGTTTAAAGACATCTATGGTCTGGGAATGGTGTCTCACACCTGCAATCCCAGCACTTTGAGAGGCTGAGGCAGACAGATCACCTGAGTTCAGGAGTTCGAGACCAGCCTGGCCAACATGGTAAAACCCCATTTCTACTAAAAANAAAGAAATTAGCCGGGCATGGTGGCCATATCTGTAATCCCAGCTACTCAGCAGGCTGAAGCAGGAGAATTGCTTGAACCCAGAAGTTGGAGGTTTCAGTGAGCCAAGATCTCACCATTGCACTCCAGCCTGGGCAACAAAAGTGAAACCCCGTCTCAAAAAAAAAATTTTTTAAGACAATTATGGCTGAACCCATACTTGATATTTGACTCTTTAAAAAGAACTACTTCTAGCCTTTTGCTTAGAAATTCTCCTATTATTTTTCAATAAATTAATATTATAAATACCTCCAAAAGATTTTCCATAGGAAAAAAATCATTAAGTTAATCTTTACATTAACAAAAAAGTTTTTAACTGCACATTAAACATGACCAAAAGTGTGGTTGAGGCACATATTCATTTAACTCGTGTTTCCCATACCTAACAATAAAGAATGGCTTACCCAGACAGAATGGCCTTCATCTGGAAGGGATGATGGTGCGTATATGCTGTGTATCTATGTGTGAATGTGTGTAGGTGTATGCGTGAGTGGGGGGCACATGAGCTCTTGTGCAGATAAGTTTGTGTGCATAGGTGTATATGTGGGACATTTTCACTAAAATAAAACAGTTATTGGCAACCACAGCCTAGAAAAAAAAATCAAGTATCATATCTCAAAACAGAAATAAACGTATCTCAGAATATTGCTTTCATATGCATTCACTGATATAAACTAAATATTGCGTATTAAATACACGTGGTGCTTTAACCGTAAGTGTCCCTGTTCATTTGACAGGAAGCCAGATATGTTTTGCCCAACATGCTTCCTGAATAGGAAATTATGTGTGTGTGCATCCCTCCCCTTTTCTTACATACCCTGTACTAACATAAGTACTGAATTTTGATCCCTCTTTAATAGACTTTATTACCTCTTATCTCTTTTTGGCTCTTGTACAAATATCATGTAAAATTCTGTGCACTTTGATTTAAAGAAAAAAATGTTTTGACTATCTGCAGAATATATATTGATGACAACATTTACAGAATTTTCCAGTAAAGGAAAGTTTAGACGCTTTCTCATCCTTTCCTTCAGGTCACACAGCACAGCGTTACAGCTTATTGTAAAAATAACGATACCAGTAAACACAGATAGGAAAGAAAGGAAAAAGATTACATATTTAAATTAGTTTATGTTACCTTCTATCTTCCTCTCAATACTAGTTTTGACAGGATATATAGGTATCAATTATAGACTTTCCAGAAAACCCAAACAATTAAACTGGTGTCATCACTTGTAAATACCCATTTGATACTCATTTATTTTATACAGTGTATGTTTCTCTTTAAGTCCTTACGTATATTTATATTAAAATCACTGAGATGTATTCCTTTAAAAAATAATACAGTACCTAGATAATATAGTGTAAGAAAATGAATGTTATCTAACATTTTTTTTGATAACCATAATGTAAGTTGTCATGCATGAGTTTAAAAGAACGTTGATTATTACTTTTTGGTCTTTGATTCTTAGTGCCCTGACTCAGTTGTAGTTTCTGGTTGCCACTTGTCTACAAAGAGTCTTCTCTGTGGACCATTAGAATACTCTTTGATCCTCTGAGTTGCTTTTACCACACAGCCTCCACAGGGGTAGTCATATCTTCTTTAAAGTCAAACCTGGTTATGTTAAAGCAAGGGAATGATATTACCAAATATGTTCTGCAATGATAGTAGTAACACTTTGACAGAAAATGTAGTATTTCCCTCTTACACGACTGTAAAAATTAAAGTCCTTGTACATTCAACATAAAAAGTTTGATTTCCCCACTAATAATTTAAGATGTAATTTTTAAAGGAGATCTACATTTATCATTTTTAAAAGCGATTGTGACATCAGCATTGTATCAGAAGATCTAAATTTTAATTGGATACCTCCTAAAAAAGTAATAATGGCTCACCAGAGAAAGATTGTCTATGTGTGACTTCAGACTAAAGAATAAAATGGGGGAAAAAAAGGAATATAACAGTGAACAATTGGAAGCTTGAAAACAGAATCCAGCTTGAAGAGTATGAGAATTGTTATATTCATTTCATACTCTGAAACCTGAGTTGAGCTCCATTGAAGCAGCTCTTTGTTTGCTAAGGTGGCACAGCAACAGCAGCCACATCTGTTTTCTCATTGCACCATCACGGACATGGTCCAGCCTGCCTGTGACCATCAGAGACTAGCAATCATCATTCCTGTCCATCATCACAGTGTCTTTCACGTTCATCTTCAGTGGCTCTTTATCTTCGTGTCTACATCTCCATGTAGACATGCTGCGTCTAGAGACATTGTCTACCAAGGGGTTTAAGGCATCTCTGTTTCTATTTTCTGCATACCCACAGATAAACAACAAAGCCAACGTGGTAACCAGCCCCAAAGAAAATATTCCTACCCCGGCGCTGGTATACCTGGACTCTTTGTAACCCTTCTTAAGATCTTTTTTTTTTCTTTTTTTGTGGTTTCTCTCATTTGCTTTCATGATATATATACATATATATAAATATTTTATTTTGTTGGGTGTTGGGTTTTTTTTTTTTCTTTTGCTTTCTACAATATGACAAAAGTTCATTCTTTTGGGTTTTTTTTGGTTAAGTTAGTTGTCAAGCAGTGTGGTCTAACATGAGGTTATCTCATTTCATTGTTGAACATTGTACTGATAGCTGTGATCTCTGTAGTTGGAATTGTTGCATGCTGCATTCAAAATACAGCGCTTTGGTTGCTCTTAGCTCTTCTGATGATGATAGTTCTAGATTATACAAACAATGGTTTCTTCTTTTCATGTTGCAAATGCTGGCATCAAGAAGAGCTAATGGGATTGTTGCTAGACAACATAAAAGTAGACCTTATTCAGAGTTCTCGTTTCCCTCTTATTAAAACACAACAGGGCTTGGTAAGATTTCACTTTCTGAGATAAGAGGCACTGGATAATTTAGAGCTTTTTGTTTATTGTGATTTAAATTAAATTTTCACTGTTTCACTTTAATCCAAAGAATGAAATTGCAAATAATAGAACTTTGAATTATCAGCGGAAACCCGTTATGTCTATCTCAATCAAATCCACACAATTAATAATTAAATTAGCCTAACACTTTTGATGGTATTATGTTAAAATTCAGAATTTGAATACTAGCATTCAGTGCTCTTTGAGTTCCATAACATTTTCCCTAAACTATTTCATATTTTGACATATGATTTTCAGAAATTTTTCCTATTACTTGCTTTTCTCATAGTGTTATTTTAAATAAATTTTAAAATGTTAGAGAATTATTTTACTTGGGTTAACTATGGGGCTCCATTTAAAAACATTTAAAGGAAGGACACATCAAGATAGCACATTACTAGTAAATATCAATGTTGATCACAGCTGTAGCCAAGGGAAAGGGAGAATGGAAGCAGTGAATATGTTCTCTCTCAATATTACAGCAGTGTAAACTGTAGTGGTGCAGGAGTGCCCATGGTTGAGAACTCCCAGTGGGTTGCAGTACCTCCCCATTGCCAAGATATCACATAATGAAAGTGCTGAGCATGTCACTGATGTATGCATATTGAATCTTTTTTTACATCTGTTATTTGAGTGTTATTATCCACTTGGGAATATTTCTTTGCTTTCTAATAGAAAACAATAGAAAAACCAATACTTTCTTCATGGAAAAGCATGACTTTATAGCCAAATATCCTGTATATATAGTCCATAAAGTAGAAGTTTTCTCTTAGATATGAATTAACACAGGATTTGACAGCAATCTGCCTCAAATTACAGTGATTACATGATTAGTTCTAGAACCCTTCAAGTAAACTTTTAAAAATTTTCCTTAAAATTTCTTATGGACTTTTGAAATTGATTCTTTAGTATAGTCTTTTTTTTTAAGTGTTGTCCAGTGGTTCTAGATTTTACAAGGGTATTCAGTTACGTATTAATTATATTAATGATACTGTAATCAAGTTTCAAAGCAATGCAACTAAAAAATATCTTCTTCGAGAATTTGAAATCATCTCGGAGTTTTAACTCCAGTGTCCTTGGCCAGTTCTCTATGGTACAGACGGTCACAGGCCACTCATTAAAGAAGAAAGGAAAGCATAGGATTAGGTGAAACAGTGAGTGCCTCTTTAGGTCTCTAAATATCGAAGCCTTGTTTGAATGCTGATGAAGAATAAGGTCTTTTGCATGCTGCTTCTGGGTAGGGAGGTTCCTATCTCATGGGCTCACCAGGGAGACCTTTCATCAGAGGTATTGTCAGCTACAACTCTGACAGCAGTTAACATCGCTTTAGCTCTTGGCACTATTTTGTTTTGTCAGCTGGCTCACCCTGCTCTGTCCCTCACACTAGAAAGAATGTACTTACCAATGCGAACTGTTTCTTTCTCTATTTTGTTCTCACTCAGGAGCCCCAAACTACTGTAATCCACAACCCTGATGGAAACAAGGTATTCAGAAAGAATCAACATCATCTTGCTTTAACAAGACTATCGTCTCATCAAAATTCAAAAAAATAATTCATTATCTAAAAATAGGAAAGAAAATTCTAGCTATTTTCTACCACACTTCCTTTTGGGCCTAATTTGTTTAGAACTATGGACGTACTTCTTGCAAATAAAAATGAATGACATCTTGAAAGAGAAACTAATGTTACCATGAGTCAATAAAAGTCAGGCTAAACATGAAGGAAGTCTTTATGTCAAGATGACTGTGTGTCTAAGCAATTCCATTTGGTCATTTTCTCCCCATGACTTTGTGCTTTGTACTGTAGATATATTGTGCATGATAATGTAGAATTTCTGGCTATATCATTCCATTGTCTTCAAAAATATCAACTTGACTTTTCATAGATTTTTTTTTTTAATTTAGTGTTACGTTTGAGTTTTATTCTATTCTGTTGTCAGAGTGGTTTTTGTGGGTTTTTTTGTTTGTTTGTTTCTTAATTCCCTGTTGGTGATAATGATGTTGTCATTGTTATTGTTGTTGTTGTTGTTTGGCATGAATTTGAGGAGAATAAGTGAGTTTCACTTTTTGTGAAATATGTTTGTTGTTGAGTAGTATACATTCCAGTAACAGGAGTTTACTGATACTGAAAGAAGATTAAATGTTTCCTATACATTTTACATTATTTGCAGAGCATGTTAACTAAATAACAGCACTAGCATACATGTCTATACGATGAAATATTTTCTGAATGTATTCCATGTGTCTGATTTATTACTTTTTGTACATTATTATGTCTCCAAGGGGAGAAAAATATACTGTACTAAACTTTTCTCCAATATTAGGTATAGTCATGGATCTTCTCCATACTCCTATCAATGATGTCTAAAACTTAGAAAGCACATTTTATCCTCAGACTTAAAAAACACATTTTCTCTCTGGTTAACATTTAGTTGATCAACATTAAAGCCATTAGAATAAAAAACATGAAGCGTTATTCTCTTTAATGTAAGATTTATTTTATAGTTATGACACTGAAAATGATCTAAGTCCCGAAAAGCCTTGAGATAGTCAGGACCATCACATTCGAGAACAATTTTTTTAATAGCATTAGCAAATGACATGCCAAGTGTAACAGCTGGAATGGACACTTCAGTACTTCTAGCTATATCATTTGTTAGAGTTCCTGCATGATATTTCTTGCTTACATGAATTAGTTTAATTTTACAGTGCATGGGTTTACCTTCATTCTCAGTTTAAATTTGAATACTAGATCACATTAAGAAATGCATGAAGATTCCTTTCTTTGGTTTTGTGTGTATGGAGACTCTGGGTACATCTTTAATTAGTTTTTCCCGTGGTTTAATTATTGTATATGATGTTTATATAAATTGATCACTTTTTTGAATATTGAATCTCTAAAATGACACCGACTGGTGTTTGCATTATTTTCCAGAATCCATTTTGCATTACTGAGCTAT